CCATAATAACATAGAAGAAAAAGACTGTTTATGTTATAGATGCATAGAGCTCTATCAAGGTAACCATCACAGCAGCAAGACTTTCGAGAAATTAAAATGGTGGACTGAGCCAAAACAACTGCAAGAATATTAATATCAGTTAAGCTATATTAGTATAGTGTAATTATGGATAAACCCCTAAACCAGGAGTTTCAAATAGGGTAGCTGACTTTTTGCAATAACCCAATTCTATTTTTCCTCAGGAATTTAGTTTTAAGGGGATGGCAAAGTATAAACTCTTTAAAACAATGAAGATAAAATAATGAAGATTACAGAATAGGGCATTGTACTGAAGAGAAGCAAAACCAAATATTTTACCAGTATCTTGGATGATGTCAATATTTGATTCACAGTTGCAGTTTTAAGATTTCTCTGTGATTTTGCCCCCTTTCTTTTTCCCATGTTAAATCTATATTCAAATCACTGAAATCACATTTCATTTACGTTGTCTCTCTTGTTTCTGAATCCATATTATTGGTAACCTCCCTAATTTGATTTTATGAATAGGTTTACAAGTTTATCAATTTTCCTCATATTCCATTGTTAAGAAATCAAAATAAATTTTACACAAACTTGTGCTGGTGGGTCCACTGAGTCTAAAAGAGCCAGGGACTTGTATCACTTAGTACCTTGCTGACATCTAAAGGAAAAATCATGCTCCCAGGTGGTCTGTCTCTGACCTAGTGGAATTCAAATACTTCACTCCTTGAAAGCAAGCTATTTTTCAGTCACAATTCTCATCATCCTAGCAACTTTCATAATAGCACCCTAAACCTCTACCTTTAATCAGTATTCACATCCACTAATTTAATTTTCTTGCTTGTCCTGCATAGCCACCATTGCTCACTGCATCACATCTACTTTAGAGACAGTTTACAGTGTTTCAGAATGCCTGTCTCAGTGCAGACACTTGGGCTACTGCAACATTACAGACATTAGGCTTGCAGAAAGAAGAACTCAATAGACATACGTGTCTGAGTACAGCTACATCTATTAAAAAAAAACAACTAACAGCACACTTACTTGAAAAAAACTCCAAAAAAAATACCAAAACAAACAAACAAACCCCTTTCCAACAACTTTTTAAAAAAGGTATTAGGAAAAGACAGTACCTCAAACCCAGTAGCTAGCATCCAGAGTTAAAAGAATTTCTCCATTTGCTTGATAATACACTGTGGACTGCAAGAAAAAACCACACGGGAATGGGGAAGGATTTCTGTGAGACTTACTGGAACCTCACTGCTTTAACTCCTAGAAATTTTCCTCTAAATTTTCAGTCTATGTTGCTCTTGCTACTTGGAATGGCTGTAGCAACATAAATTGATATGGAGCATATATTCTATATTTGTTCTTGTGATAAAGTCACTTTATATCTTAAAAATTTTCAATTTTTTTTTGTCCTTGATGTATTTAAAAGACAACAGTAATATCTTTTTAACCTTTATTATGGAGTAGGTACACTCAATTGCTCAAAGCAGTTTCATTTTTCTTCACGGTATTCTCCCCTTCCATTTAAACTGCTTATACATTTGGCAACATTTAATTTTGTCACAAGTCAAGTTTTGCATTTCCCTGTTTCTGAAGAAATTCAGAATTTCATGATTATTGATTAAAAAATGTTAAAATTCCCTTAATTGGCAATAACTTTCACATGATTTTCATGGAGGCTGAAACTGAGACCTTAGCACGTTCCTTGCTAAAGTGGTAGCAATTTCCTATGGTCTGAAGAATTCCCACTCTTTAGTTTTACGTTTCATATTATTTAATTAGCCATTACTTCTCATTAGTTTACTTCCACTGAAACAATTCTGATGGTTACTGAGACAATTTAAAAATGTTGCTTGCTAATCACCAAAGTTACAAGTCTCTGCCTGCTAGAACAGATGTCAGAAAGATACAGTGACAGCAAGCAGCTTCCTTCCCTCCCTGAAGAGGGATAATTCTTCTTTAAAGACTTGTTATTCCATGCATTTAATCAGTAATATCTTATGCTGGTTTGCTCTTCAAAATATTACAACAGAGCTTCACAATTGAACAGATTTCTACAGCTGTTGTGGATGTTGGGAACACTGGTGGTAGGGCTGGGAAGAGCTAGATGATAACAAAAGCATATGGAGGATTTTTGTTTGTTTCTCTATGGAATGTTTTCATTAATGAATGAAGATTACTAAAAGCTAGATGCTCCTCAAATGACTAATTTGGTAAAATCCTAATGGAAATAGGAGTGCTACAACCCATACAGAGCTCAGACTTGCCTGTGGCTGCCTTGAAGACAATAAGCAAGCTAAGGGACTAGAAGCCACAGGAGGTTAGGAAAGAGCACAGGCTTCCAGCCAGCACACCTGGACTGGTATCACAGCTCCCAGGCTTTCTGGGGAGGACCAGAAAGTTCTGTATCTTTAGAGACCTATTTTAAAACAGAATAGCTTTTTACTGTGCTTAATTTCCTAATTAAGAAAGCTAAGTACCAGAAAATCGTGCTACTTTTCATCACATGGACTTTTAGACTGCACAGAGATAAAGATTCCTCTAAATATTCCTTTAACTTTGATAAGTTCCATAAAGGAAAGCGAAGTACTTGGCACATTTCAGCAGCAGTAAAAATGGTAATAGCTCCTTGTCAGAAGACAGAACTCAGTTGTGGAAACAAGCCGTGAAGGAAACATTTTTTTTAACATACCTCCTTAGTTCAGAACACACAAAGGATTTGAAGTTCAAGAGAGTCAGATTTTAATGAAATCAGTATATCTGTCTCATCCAATGGAGATGATGGAGTTTATATTGTTTAGACAGACTGAAGGCATGGAGAAAGGCAAACCAACTGAAACTTCACTATATCCACAGCTAAAATTTGTAGCCTTTCAGAAACAGCAAGATATCTGACACTTTTATAGCTTCATCTTCTCTGTATTCTCAGATCAGGTAGTTGTAGGAAACAATAAGATCCTCTGAAGTTCTTTCTTCTCCAGGCTAAACATGCCCAGCTCTCAGACTCTCTTCATACATCATGTGCTCCTGATCTTGACCCTTGGTGGTTCTCTACTGAGTTCACTTCTGTATGTCAATATTCTAGTACTGAGAGCATGAAACTGGACACAGTACTCAGATGTGGTCTTATAAGTGCTGAATAGAAGGGACGGATCACTTTCCTGTACCTGCTGTCAACACTCTTACTAATGCAGTCCAGGATATCTTCAGACTGTTGTCCACTAGGATCCCAGAGTCTTTTCTGCAGACCTGCTTCCCGGGCAGCTGGCCCCCACCTGCCTTGTTGCCTGAGATTACTCCAACCCAGGGGCAAGACCTTTCATTTGCTCTTGCTGTACTTCATAAGCCCATTTCTCCAGCCTGTCCAGGACCCTCTGACAGGAGCACTGCCTTCCCAACTTAGGTCACTCCAATTTCGTGTTATCTGTAAACTTGCTGAGAGTACTCTCTATCTCATCATCGAGGATGTCAATGAAGACATTGAACAGTATTGGTCTCAGAACTGATCCTTGAGGGATCCACTACCTACTGGCCACAAACCTGGCTTCATACACTTGGCTTTGCACCCTTAGGTTTGCACCATTAATCACAACTCTTAAGGCTCATCCTATTTTCTATCCACTTTATAGTGCCTTTATCCATCCCATTTCCCACCAATTTGGGGGCTATGAAGGAGGCTATTGGAGGCTATCAAAGATCATTAAAATCAAAGTATATAACAGTCGCTCTTCCCCTTGCCAGACATCTCATCATAGAAAGTGTGATTTACATATAGAAAACATTTTAGCTACTCCCATTTACCTGGTTGTCTTTCATGTGTTTACATATGATTTGCTCCAACAGTGTTCTCAGGGACTGAGTTGAGGCTGACTGGCCTATAGTTACCTGGACCCTCCTTCCTGTCATTCTTGACAATCTAGTTCCACAGACTTGTGTATGATATCCAAGCGATTTAAGTGATGCCTGATTCTGCATCACTCACACAGGGATGAGTGGGCCATACATGCCGAACTTCTCTAAGTTTGCCCCTTCTTTGGTGAAAAAATCCTGAAGTTATGATTTGCTGTCACTCTTTTAAAATATACCTGCACCATAGTAATTCTAGGGAAGGAAAAAGATCTTTCCATTAAAAAACAAGGGGAATGCATGTGTTGGCAAATAGAAGTGTTTCCATAGAACAGATGTCAGAGCATTTTAAATATAATGAAAATGTTTCTATTTGATTATTAATCATATTATAGAGTCATTATTAATTCTACACATTAGAAATTGAAGTCTTTAATGTGTAATCCTTTCTAGTAATCTGTTAAAGTGATCCTAGAAAGCCACAGATTTTCTATGTGTTTTTTTTTAATTTGGATTAATTTGAATTGCATGTTCAAACATGAAAAACAGTGCACTTTAGTAGTGCAGTGTTCAGTGTCTCACAAGTAACCACGTGTCATTATGTACCATGAAGCCCAAGTCTGTTCACAACTTAACTCATTAATTATACTATGTAGCTGTTCAAACCCCAGACTGCTTGACATCCAGCCTTACAATATCCTGAGGTTTTAGCTGGAATTTACCTCTTATTTGCAATGGCATGATAATTATTAGTTTAACAAGTGCCTACAGCAAAATTTGGTAAAAAAAAAAAGGTTTCACATCTTGACTTAATAACATCACTTAGGTATTTTTTGCTCAGTTTTACAAGTTTAGCTGAAAATTTCCAGTCTTTAGACCATCTGCATACAGTCAAAGATAAGTAAAGGAAGAAAGAGCTCTGTAACACCACCAACACCTCCCAAAGTATATTAAAAATATCCCTACCAAAACCTGAAAAACCTAAACCCCAAACTCCAAAGTTCTTGTTTACAAAAACTTCCTTTAAGCTAAGGATTTCTATTGGGTGTTTTAAGTTACTTCATCTGAGCAAGACTGTGATGTCTAACTTCATTCTTCAAGCTACAGATGCAGTACCAATTGCTTACCTGACTCACACGCAAATGTCTTTGACGTCTCATCATGAAAGATAATTGCCACTGCATGCTTCTTCGTCTCTCGAGGCAATCTAGTTATGTTTTTGATATTGTGCAGCTCAGTTACCTTAAAACGAAAAAAAGTATTTTAGGCCAGTGTATAAATAGTACAAATAAAAATATTAACCATAACTATAATCTATTTTTCCCCCTAAGGTTATTTACATTTACAAGCTTTTTAATTGACAAAACCACATAAATAGGTAGAGTCTAAAGTTGCAAAACTTTCTATAAAATGTAATGTATCAAAAAGTGAATGCTTTACTTGATGAAGTTCTACTTGGAAACAATTATTACAATGCTATCAAGACAGCCTTGTGATTATTTTATAATGTAGTTTTCAATTTCTATATTTCTCTTATCAGTTTCAGAATCTGCATCAAATATATAAACTAATGTAGGAACAGCAGTGTTTTATTAGTGAAGGAAAGTAACTCAATTATCATGCCAATTAGTATCAATTCATTTGTACGGACAGATCCTCATCTGTCTTTAAAGTGTAACTGCTACTCTCATAAGGAGTAAAAATTTTATTTTGCAAATATTAGAAAAGCTTATCAACAAAAACCACTCATAGCAAATTCACAGCATAAACAACTCAACCTATTTCCATTTTCCTTTGATATAAGTAAATAACTATAATTAACACAAATGGAAAAAAACTATGTTATTAAAACCAGAGCTGGTAGCACAGCCTATATTATATCACTTAACACTTCACATTATAAAATCTTTTTCTCAGTTTCTTGGAACTCTGGACAAATTTTATTTGTTTATAGTTAGCTTTTCCAGGCAGGACATGTGCCTCAGGCAGAATTAATTTCTTAAAAATGTAATCCATATGAGTTTGGCCATCTATGACTAGGGAAAAAAATGGACTGAATTTTTTATTTTGTTTTGTAATTCTTATGTTCCCCGTGTACAGCTTTAGCATTCCTTTTCATATGCTGGAAAGAATAATTTTTTAAGAGACGGAGATTTTATGCGCTGCAGTAAAAAAATGGAACATGTTGTGGCAAAGACATTGCAAAAAAGATTGAGAGCAGATGAGCAGTGAGAGCCAACAAGAAGCCAGGGAAAGAAACTGAGACAAAGCATGAAGTGGGTTGCATAGGTGCTGATGGCAAACCTGAGACCAGAACTGAAGACTACTATGGGGTCAGCAAAACTCACTTCAGTTTGTCAATATCTTTGCTGTAACAGTTGGGCCAAAACTGGATGTGGTACTCTAGATACAGTCTAATGAATGCTGAATAGAGGAGGATAATCACTCCCTTTATTGACTGGCTATGGTACTGTTCATACAGCCCATGGAGATGTTGGCCATCTTTGCTGGCTGAGGCATGAAGCCCCTGGGGCCTGCCCACAGGGCTGCCTCCAGCCTGTCCATCCCAGGGCCTCTGCCATCACAGGGGCTCCTCTATCCCAGGGCCAGCGCCTGGCACTCACCCTTACAGGGTACCTCTCAGTCCATTCCTCCATCCCATTAAGGTCTCTGGAAGGTAGCCTGACTACTGAAAGCATACAAGCTGATCCTTCCCAATTTGCTATCTGCACAGTTGGTGAGTGCATGCTCCATTACCTCCTCCAGGTCCCTGTTAACAACCCAGTAAAGACCCTGGTAGTTCTACACTTGCTGCCGACCTCCAGGTAGAGTATGACCCATTAACCATGAATTTCTGGGTGTGACTAGCTGACCAGCATTTCATCATCTAGACATCCACCCACCCAGATGATAACATCCCAACTTGGATATAATAATATCATGGGAGACAATGCCAAAAGCCTTGCTAAAGTTGAGTACCCAACAACATCCACTGTTCTTTCCTCATCCTGAACCACAGATGGCTATCAGATTTACCCTTGGTAAATCCATGCTGCCTCTTCCCACTTACTATCTTCTTCACATGCCTGGAAATATGTTTTAAAAGGACTCACTTCATGGTTCCTCCCATGGGCTGAAGCAAGCCTGCCAGATCTGTAGTTTCCCAGGTTGATCTTTGGCCATTTTTGGACACATGTGCAAGACTTGACTTGCCATTGGGTTCCTAATTCCTTACAATTTTAATTTATGCTTGGGTGAAAGGCTGAACACCACAGATACCACTGTCCCATTAATGTAATGACTAAAATCTCTGTTAAATCTCCCTGATCTAAGCATGGTAAATGATCTATTAGTATGTCAGAGAGCTTCTATGTCTTATCCAAAGCACTTATCTCAAGGAAATCCTGTAAAAGTGAAAGGAAAGCACTAGCAGAGAGAAGAGAGAGCAGACTCTAGAATTCAAAACCTAAGGGAACAATACCAAACCCAAAAGTCATTACTGAATTCTGAAGACCCAAACGGCCCAAAGTAAACAGGGAAGATATGGATCTAGCAGTCTTGCTAAATAAGAAGAGGATATAAGTGTGAAAGATTTAAAAATATTTGAGACACAAAAAAGTTCATGTTATTCTTAGAAGGAATTTATAATTTTAAAAAATAATTTAAAGATGGACATAGCTTCCCTCTCAAAGATTCAAAAATATAACTGACAGTGCACTGTGAAAGGGAAAAAATAATAGGAAAGAAAAAACCCCAGTGATTCTAACACAAGAAAAAAAAAACAGTGTGTGCATGTGTGACCGTGCACTCCATACAAAAAATAACCCTTAAGTCTTGCTATGTTAAAAAGAGGAAACTTCTCTTTCTGGAATAGTAGGAATGGAAATTGAAGTGTTTTTAATAGTGACAACAAGGGACATTAAGCATTATTCCAGTCTCTCTCAGACAGTAAAGATCTATTCTTTTTTTTTTTAACATTTGAGTGTTACAGATTACTGAAAGATCCTGCAATGATTTTAAGTTTGATAATAGATCCAAAAAACACCACACATTCCTACATAACTTTCACAGTAATTTTTGTTTGAAACTTAAATACAGACAACTGGGTATCCATTCCAAGCCATCTATAAACATGATTTTATGGGTTCTCTTGTTGAGCAGTACATTAAAGCTGTTTTATTTAATATGTTGATAGAATATTTTTATATAAGATAAACCACACACTTACAAATATTGTCAGCACAAAAGGAACAAATATTAGAATTTTATGTCGTTTGCTGGTGGGAATTTAATGTCTGCAAGAGATAATGAAAACATCACCAAATTATGATGTGCTGCTTCTTGGTACACATACAAGAGATTTGGTTGAACAAAATGCAAGGCAAGTGAAAAAAACACCAGTCTCCACAGACAGGAAAAGAAAAAAAATACACATTTTGACTTTCCTTTGTCTCTGGAATCATTCTGCCTTCATAGACAGAATGGAACTTCTGCTCTGAACTCCAATGTGACAGGCAAAGAGTTACATGAAATGCCTATTCAAAATTCCCTACCTTTTACTCTTTTTTTTTAAAGCAAGGGGTTTTTTTAGCCATTCATAGCTTCACACAGAAGTCACATTTCTCTTGTGTACAAATTTTCACAAAAACGGACATATTTCAAACTATCACAAGATAGTGTGAAATATCTCTGTTCTTGTCAAATGCTTTAATGGTTTAGTAGGGGTAGCCGAAATATTTCTGCCAGTTTAAAAAAAAAAATCTTTCACCTTTAAATGCTTTGTTTTACAAGAACTGAAGGTTTTCTTCAAAATAATACTGGTTTATTTATAAAATTCTGAGGATAAATGGAATTTATACAGATATATGTTAGGGAAAAATAACTAATTTTACTTGACAAACTAACAGGAAAAAAAAAAGGAAAGATAAAAAAGTAGCTAAGCTTTAGCACTCCCACTGTCATATCTGAGAAAGCAGGAAAGTTCACAGAATCACATAATGGTTGAAGTTGGGATTTCTGTAGATCATCTGGTCCAACCCCCCTTCTCAGGTAGGATCACCTAGAACCCATTGCCTGGGACCATGTCCAGATAGCTTCTGAATAACTCCAAGGTAGGAGACTGAGCAACCTTTCTGGGCAACCTGTGTCAGTCTTCAGTCACCTTTACAGTAAAAAAGTGTTTCCTGACATTCAGAGGGAACCTCCAGTGTTTCAGTTTGTGTCCACTGCCTCTGGTACTGTCACTGGGCACCACTGAAACCAGCTTCTGTTTTCTCAAAAACCTTCAAGTGTAGAGAATATACTCACTAATGAATATACAATAAATGAACCTTCTCATTTCCAAGCTAAGCAGTCTCGGCACTGTCAGTCTTTTCTCATAGAAGAGATCCTTCAGTCACCTCATCATCTTCATGATCCTCCATTGGACTCTCTTCAGTATGTCCATGTCTCTCCTGTACTGGGAGCCCAGAACTGGACACAGTGCTCCAGGTGTGGCCACACTGGTGCTGCGTAGAAGGAAAGATCACCTCCCTTGACCTGCTGGCAATGGTCCTCCTAATGGAGCCTAGGATACTATTAGCTTTCTTTGCAGGAAGAGCACATTGCTGGCTTATGTACACCAAATCATGTACAAGTTGAAGAAGCAGTTCTGTTTTTATCTGTTGGGTATATATCTCTGTCAACAGGTTGACAGAAAAAAAACCCCATCAGCTAACATCTCAGAAACATGAGTTGATGCTAGCAAGGAGAAGTGCCATATTATCAAATAAGCTCCTCAGTATTTCTATTTGTTATGTAATTTTTACTATCAAATAGAGATATGAATTTTTGCTTCCATGTACATCTTTTGAAATTGTAATGTATGTTTCTGTCCACAATCAAAGGAGAAAAACAGAGGAAAAAGCAATGATACTGTGAAAGTCTATCCTTCCACTGTTAGAAAGAATTGAAGTTAATAAAATTCCAAATTCTAGGTTTAATGCCAGTTAAAAAAAAACAACCCTAAAAAGTCACAATTTTTTGCCAACTTTAAGAAGGCTTTAAAAGACTAACCAAATTGAAAAATTATCAAAAAGAAAAAAGCCCTTTTTATAAGTAGTGCATTAGGTAAATCTACTTTTATAAGCAAAGAATATTATACAGAAATTTGATCCCTGTGGTATCATAACAGGTTATTTTGAAAAAAATACAGTCTAGTTCATTGAAAACATTGCTGTTCTTCACAACAACAAAGTAGTATT